AGATATTTCTCATGTTTTTATGTTTGATGTACTATTTTGTAAACTGTTCTTTTTGTATGTTTTCAGAGCTGGTAACTCTTCCACCACTTCGCAAGTGTACGAATAGTCTCAGACTACTTAGCCAAACTTATTTCAGGAATTTGGAATACCCAAACAACAATTTTATGAGGGATTAATATTTCAAGGCTTAGTTTTAGAATTTTTCAAGGTCAATTCGATCTTAGATCTGCTTTTATCATATTACATATTGGTTTCAATGACGTTAATGGCCCTTGTTCAGGAGATGAGATTATTTCAGCTTATAATGATTTTCACAGGTGTTGAGTTGCTTAAAGGCTTTTTATTGGAGCTTCATGTTAACATGACAGATGTATTAATTGATATATGCATCTTAAGACTTTGCTTAAGGCACATTGTTTCTCATAAAAGACTCAATCTTAATTGCTTGTAAAGATCTGTCTCGGACAATATGCTAATAAGGATGTGGTAAGGAAGCGAAGCTTCTTATTGTATGTATTTTATACTATTACTTGATACTAGTATTTCTGAAAGATTTTTTTCATGGCCATGGTTTGCCGTGCTGATGTTTATAACTACTGTTATAATTATTGAGCTAGCATATGGATAGATAAAACTATTTTGACTGTGTTTGTTGATGAATCAAATTATCATATTATTTTGCATTTGATAAACAAGTGTGTTTATATGAATATATACATGTGATCTCAAGTTTATAAAACTTATATTCCATTAAGATCTAAATTTATCTTGTGTTTTCTTTAAACGCCTTATAATTTTGTTTCTTTTGAATTAAGAAGTGCTTAATTATTACGTTGAATGAAATTGACCTTGATAACTCTTATACTTTATGGTTGACGTAGGCAATAATTTGACAGTAAACATGTTTGTCTTTGTCAACTCAAAAGTTTAGTTCATTCTCTATTTTGTTGACCAGTACATCACATGTTGAGATTCTAATTCATCCTCCCACCTCATTCTATTTGTGTGTTTTATGTACAGTAAAGACTGTCTTAGCGACCCCCTGTATATAGCGACGTTCTGTCTATAGTGACCATAGTTAGGTGCGCCGAACAGTATTTACTATATAAATGGTCTGTATGTAGCGACTCCCTGTCTAGTCCGTACAACGACCATGATTTAGTCACCCGTTACGGTATTTGAGCCGTGAATAGCGACTTTTGGAAGGGGAGCATGACTTGAACTATGTGACGTCTTTGGTGAAGAAGTCGCCTTCGGATCAGCGACTTTGCTTCAGTCGCCCGATTTTTATAATTTTCCGTCATACTTATTTACGCCGCTAGGTCTGTTAATAATTTGTTTACCTCTCAATTACAACCAATTACCGTTAATCCGCTAATTAAGAACGCGTGTCAACATCAACAAAGTTCAATACACGCCGCAAGGCAAGAGTTCACTATGTTTATCTTTCTCATTACGTATTCATGATTGACGAATCAGAACGCGCGTTGTATCTACGGCAGTTTGCATTGACCAATCGGCGACACGCTAATACACTGTGGCTGTTTGTTGACAATTACACAATATGGCGACAAATTCAATCAATTTTCGCCGATAAAATGATTAAAGACACATGCATATACATAATTGCTGCGGTGTTTTGGCGAGTAAAGATAAACAATGCCAAACGTCTTAAAGGCGTGGTTATGTTTGAAACCTCGATTGTTATTTTTTTTTCGGAGCACTTATCTAGAAATTATTTGGAGATTTGTATCTAATGTTTTATTAATACATTGAACTCCGTAAAGTAAACAGGTTGATTATACAAAATTAAATGTCTCTACAGTAACATCTCATTAGTAAAATTGAAATTAAACATTTTTTTTACAAACAGATTTATCAATATAAATTACATTTTAATGAATATGTAACTTTTAGATACTAATGTTATGGTGTAGTTTATAATCTTAACCAATTATACATGCAATTTTAACTTAAACCCTTAGTATGGTACTATCCTGCTTTTCAACAAAATATTGGTATGATATGTTCATATATCCGAATTATATAGAGACTGTCCACAGTGACTCCCTGTCTATAATGACCTTTTTTCTTTTCTCCCATCGAAGGTCACTGTAAACAGTCTTTACTGTATAACTAAGTGTACAATGGTTCATATATGTTAAATTACCTTGATGTTTGATTATTTGTTTGATGATGCATATAACTACTGTAATGATTACTGTTCTAACGTATGGACAGACAAAACTATTTTGTTTGTGTGTGTTGATGATATAAATTGTCATATTTGTATTTGATATATGATAAAATGTAATTATATGATTGCGATAAATGTGAGCTCAAGTTGACCTATTTATATTCTATTATGATGTAGATTTCTCTTTTGTTTTCCTTTAAATGAAAACTTATAATTCACATTTGTGAATCACATGAGCCGAGCCAACCTTGATAACATAGAAAAAAATGCAAAAGGAATGTCCTAGCTAGTCTGGTCATTATTTTATTTTGGTTCCTTTTTAAAATGTTTCTCTAAATGCATCATTTCCGAATCAATATTTGATTATTATGCTACTTTACCTTGTACATATATATCTAATATCGCACGAAAGTGTAAATAGCACAACGATGTCGAATTGTGCAAAACTACGGTAGAAATGATCAACGTGATAATTAACTTATCAATATTAAAATATAGTATAATCAAATTTTAATAAAAAAAATTTTAGCAGCCGTATGTGGTAATTTAGTCCATATTCAGACTGGGGATTGGTCACGGGGGACGTAGAATTGGGGTGAGGCACCGGGTTGTAGCATTGGGGATGGGGCATGGGGATGTGGCATTGGGGATTGAACACAAGTGATGTGGCATATGGGGATGGAGCACAGCGCTAAGTTTAGCAGGAGTATGAATGTCATGTTGTATCTTTTTTAGTTTCTATTCCTTTATAATCATATTTTCTAATTGTAATTTGGTGGTGGGCAGTTCGTCATTGGTTCCTGTTACACATGTATACCAACATTACGTATTTAACTTACCTTTGTTACAATGTTTAATCATATCATTGGTATGTCCTTTATCTTTTTTAAAATTCGCTGTCAAAGCAGCATTATTGTGCATTTTCTAGCTTTTTGCATTTAATAATGGAGAAAAGTGGGGTTTGTCTAAAAGCCCCAGAACGCTTACTTGTCCCTTCAATTATGAATAAAGTAATATTGAAAATTAAATATATCAAATATATTGATAGTTAAATGATTTTATTAAAATTGTTACCAAATTAGTCAAGAAAGTTTCATTGTGATGTACAAAATACAAGTTAGAATACATAATCTATAACTCCAGAATACATAATCTATAACTCCAGAAAACAAGTAAAGTCACAAAAATAAAACAAAAGAATTTGAAATTCTTTCAACAAATCAGCAGAATAATAAGATATAGATATGTTGAAACATACAAGCAAGCTCATTCGATGAAGTAACGTTTAACTAATACATACCGTATGCCGGCACCCGTGATGATATATTGCTGCAGTGATGACAATTTACTGTTTCCAACAGGTAGGTTATAAATTTGACTGGTTTATCTATATCACGCAACTTAGTACAATTACATTGCAATAAACTTTCTGTCCATTGACTAAAGATAAAATCAGACATTTAAGTTTCGATTTCCAATTTCATAAAGTATTCTGAGCGGATTAAAATTGACAGCCTCGGATTACATTATAATAAAATACATGCTATTAAACTGAGCCTGCAATTTCGTGAAAATAATATCACAATGCACATGCTGTTTACATAAAGTTATTAAATACAAATATAACAACATATTTGTTTACTTGATTTTTTACGAATCAAAATAAAACTAACACAACATGAAATTAACTGCTAATAATAACAGCTCCTTCCATTGGCCAAAATAAAAAGAATTTCATAAGAGACGACGCCGCTCATCGGCGTCGCCAAAAAAGGACATTCTTATGTGTATGAACTTTATGATAATTGGCACTTCAGATAAAGCTAATCAACATTCATAGGAAATTAAATTTCTTCGTCTTAACTGATCTATTTGTAGCCCAATTATGTCGTAGTAAAGTTTACGATGTCTTGTGACTGTGTGTCAATGAAATGCTTTACAATGCACCTACCTCTTGAGTATCTCTCTATAATTAGCAAAAAGTATAACAAATGATAGTTCAACGTCTTATTTGTAGATAGACGTACGCTATGAATAAAGAAATATTTTGTCAGAATGTTAGCAACCTTCAAAGCGTTTCTGTCATGATCGGCAGCCTCAAAAATACATTTCTACCTACGACAGGTGCATTTTCGTTTACACCGGGTTCGTTTGGACGTCTCAAGAATGATCGGTATTCGAGACCAAGAGTGATGATTGCATATATGTATAAAAAGAAATCCTTTCATTTATTTCAAACTTGGGATATTCTGAAAAAAAACAACAACAAACGTTTTTACGGATTTGTAAGCGCTCAAAATATTCCATGAATGGGGAATCGATAATCGATTCTAGTCAATGGCCAGTAAGGCTGTAGGAATGAAATGTCCTTATTTGCGATATATGAATATACCAATTAAATAACCTACTTGTAGTGATAAGTTATTTCGATTCGGGTTCAATTCCCGGACGATACAGGTCACTTTTGTTGTGATTGATCATGAAATCCTTTCTTCGGTTATCCTCACTGTACCCCTGCTCTAGCATGTACAAAATATATACGCGTTCCTTGCGATGCGAAAGAGAAGGCAACTAGTACTTCTTAACTGCATGTCTGCATCTCCAGAAACGATGTGGTCACTGAACTGTGCTACAAACTACAAACACCACTACCATCACTGCAGCAATCTGTGAGCACTGGTGCCGGTATTATTGTGTATAATACAAGTGATGATATCTGAATATAACCATTTCACAGAAATAATTCAACAATGTTTGCTCATGTCAGCAAATTAAATTGATATAAATATAACATGATTTGACGTCACTTATTGCCATCTTTGGGGTTACAATGGCGACGAGGATGACGACGATCGAACAGCTTTTTACTACGTTCCATGTCTTCTTCATTCTGTCGGGGTTTGTCGTTTTTCCTGAAAGCAAGGTTTTTATTTAATTAATTGAAATTCACTGGCTTATTATTGAAAATGAAAAATTGGGCCAACATTAAATACTTCGTATAATGATATTCCAATTAACATAAAATATGTTATTTCTTAAAGAGTACAAAATCAATGCATTCGTCTTCAACGGTAGGGAACTCTGCTTATTTCTGTTATTGCTAAGAAAGTGTAGAGAAATGTTTTTACAAATTTGTACAAAAAGAATTTAAGTCAAGGTCAAATCAAACGTTTTCTATGATCACGTGTGCAAAATTTCTTTTTACAAATTAAGTGATCGTTTTCAAATATTAACATTTTAATGTTTATAGGAGACAAAAAGTACAAGACATCATATGCCGGGCAACAGTTTAAGCACACGCTGTTTAAGAATTTATAAGGAAGAGGAATAGGCAAATAAAGCATCAATAAACAACTTACGAATGGGTGGTGGTTTTTCTTTGTTCTTCTGGCTTATTCATTGGTGAATCGCATTGGTCTTTAAGCAGTCTTTTAAACAAAAATATATTGATGTTTGTACAATTCATATTAAAAAACACTCTAATTATGTAAGAGATCATGTTATTATTTTCATTTATTAAATGTTCTAAATCTTTAACGGTAAATGCTGGTACTGGTATTTACAATATCACACAGATCTTGGACCAGTTTCTGTTTTATTGTATTACAAGTTAAAATAACCTTTGATTAAAAACAATATATTTACGATGTGCAGCATTCATTTGTCGTTTTAAAGTGATCGTTTTCAAATAAACTAACAATTTAAAATGGACGGGTCTACAAAATAAACATATTTTGTATGAACAGTATATGACGAGAAATAGTATTTTTCTACGATAATGTATTATAAGCATGTGTATACATAAACATGTATATCTATGTAAAATCGGATCATGTTTCTCACATGTTCAAAAAACATCAATAGGTCATTCTTTTACATACAATATTAAACACCATTAACATGATATGCTATTACAAACATTCCCTTTCAATTTGCTTTAATGTATTTTGAAAACAAAAGGGCAATGCAACAGCTTAGCACTTGCTGTTTTGTAATTTACAATGAGTATATGTGCATAAAGTACTTGTAGTATCCTTTTTTTTGTTAACCACCTTTAGTTCGTATTGTGCGTATATGTCTCCAAACTTTTGTCTGAAAAGGTATATTTTAGAAAAGTAAAATTCATAATAACAATAAGTAAAGAGACCATGCTATTATCATTAATTTATCTGTTTAATTCCTTGTTAAACATAGCATTTACCCGGATTCATACATATTTCCATGAACAGTTTGAAAATATATTCAAATCATTTTATAAGACTCTCTGAAAGCAAACATCTCTCTTGCTAGAGGTTTTGACCTTAAGACAAACTCCCAGCTATTGGATCTTTCTTTAGAAAAAATGCAAACATGTACACATGGACAAGAGAGCCATCATGATCCCTATATTGCTGAATACATTAATATTCTTAATGACAAGGGAAAAGTGATATTGTTAACTATATACGAAAGCAGATATAACATCTAAATCTGATATCTCAAAGTTAATAATTTTATGTGTATCTGAAAACATTTACTGGTTGCTATTGCTAAGGGAAAACAATAGTTACTAAAGAAGTCATTGGTTGCTGTACAAAATCAGTGGTTTCCTTGGAAGTCACTGAATGGTATGAAATTCAATGGTAGACTCGTTGCTATGGAGAGTTAATGATTGCTATGGATGCCACTGATTCCTATGTAAAAAGTTTGCTATGGAAATTTACAGTTTGTTTTGATAAGCCAATGGCTGCTTCGAAGTCACTTGTTGCTATTAAAAGCAGTTGGTTGCTATGGGAATCATCGGTTGCTATGGAAAGTCAATGGATTTTATGAAACATTAATGGTTGCTATGGAAAGTCATTGGTTGCTATGAGAGTCGTTAATTGCTATCTGCAGTCTTTGTTTGCTATGGAAGTCATCGGTTGCTATGGAAATTAGGTGTTGGTATGGAAGTCATTGGTTGGCTTTGAAAGTCAATGGTTGCTTTGGAAAATCAGAGGTTGCTATGGCAAATAAATGGTTGCTGTATAACGTCATCGGTTGTTATTGGAGTCTATGGTTGCTGTGGAAATTCAGTGAAAAGTCAATGGTTACACATGTTGCTATGGAAGTCAGAAGTTGAAATGGTAAGTTACTGGTTGCTATGGAAAGTCAATGTTTGCTATTGAAATCACTGGTTACAAAATTGGTCACCGTTTGATATGGACAGTCAATGGTTGCCATGAGAAGGCACTAATTGCTATGGAAAATCAATGATTGTTATGAGACGTCAATTGTTGCTATGGCAAGTCAATGGTGCTACAAAGTAAATGGTTGCTATGGAAAGTCAATGGTCGCAATATAAGTCAATAGGTGCTATGTTTAATCAATTGTTGTCATTGAAATATATTTATTTAGATATTAGTTGCTATGGAATGTCATTGGTTGCTAAAGAGCTCTATGGTTGCCTTGGACAGCCAGTGATTGTTATGTAATTCCCTGGTTGCTATTGAAAGCCACTTGTTGCTATAGAAGTCAGTGATTGCTATGGAAAGTTACTGGTTGCTATGGAAAGTCAGTGATTGCTATGACAACTCCCATACGAGGCAAATTTATGTTCCCCCGGGGTTTGGCCCATTTTGGTGTAAGGGCTAAAATTTGAACATTTTTGTTGAGGATCAACAGACTAAGTTCCAATTTGTTGATTATAAGATATGGCCCTTGCAGTTTTCAAAAAGGAGAATTTTAAGGTATTTACTAAATAAGGAGAAGACATGGCCCCATTGGGCGGAGGCAATTGTGACCCAAAGACAATCATTTGAACAAACTTAGAGAAGTCTACTAGATAAAGTTTCATGTCAAAAAACTAAACTTTAGCTATTGCAGTTTTGTAGAAGAAATTCTTTTGAATTCTTTACTATATACATAAACGGAAAATCTATATTGTTGCGGGACAGGGTCAATTACTCAAAGGCAATAATTTGAACAATTTTGTAGAGGTCTACCAGACAATGTTTCATAACAATTATCTCAGGTAAAGACTCTTTAGAATATTAGAATACTTTTTTGTTTTTACTATAAAAATATAAAGATAATCAAAGACAGCTAGGGCGGGGCATATTTTTTATCAGAACCTGATTTGAACAAATTTAGAAGAGGTCTTCTAGATACTGTTTCTTGTTTTGTTTGTTTGGATTTTTAACGGCACGCCAACACATAACTGGCCAGATACTGTTTCAATTTAGGACAAGAGCCACCGCCGGGCGGGGGCAACGCTCGACTTTTTACTTTTTCTAAACGCAAACATAGAAAGGTTTGAACATATCTTAACGTTTCCTTTTTATAAATTTAGTTGGTCTGTCTTGTCACATTAGTTTTGTTTATCTATTTTGTATATATATTTATATGAATAGAAACACGCAATTCTATAAATAGAAACATGCAATTCAATAAATAGAAAGATGTAATTCTATAAATAGAAACACACAATTCTATAAATAGTAACAAGCAATTCTATAAATAGTAACACGCAATTCTATAAAAAGAAACACGCAATTCTATAAATAGAAACGCAATTCTATAAATAGTAACACGCAGTTCTATAAATAGCACAAATCTATAAATAGCAACACACAATTCTGTAAATAGTAACATGCAATTCTATGAATAGAAACACACAATTCTAAAAATAGTAACACGCAATTCTAAAAATAGTTACACGCAATTCTATAAATAGAAACACACAACTCTAAAAAAGGTAACACGCAATTCTATAAATAGTAACACGCAATTCTAAAAATAGCAACACGCAATTCTAAAAATAGAAACACGCAATTCAAAAAATAGTAACAAGCAATTCTAAAAATAGAAACACGCAATTCTATAGATAGAAACATGCAATTCTATAAATAGTAACACGCAATTCTTTAAATAGAAACACGCAATTATAAAAATAGTAACACGCAATTCTAAAAATAGAAACCAGCAATTCTAAAAATAGTAACACGCAATTCTAAAAATAGAAACACGCAATTCTAAAAATAGAAACACGCAATTCTAAAAAAGTAACAAGAAATAAAAAAGTTATGATCCAGGTACAAGTTTGCGAACGGCAACGGCAACGGCATCGGCAACGGCAACGGCAACGCCGCCGCGACTATAACAATACCTCTACTTTTTCTTTTCAAAAAAAAAAAGTCGAGCTAAAAACTAAGCTTAGCTTCTGCAGTTCTAGAGAAGAAATTCATCTACAAAACTTTTCTATATACATATAAGACAAATCTATGTTCCAATTTGACCAAAGGGCTATGACAGACAATGTTTCATTACAGTTATCTTAGCTTAGGCCTAACATATATAGCTTAGTATTATGGAGGGCGATCGTTGCCAAAATTCCAGACATGTAATGTGTTCCTTTTGAAAACTACTTATGAAAATGCGAACGGGTATGTATTTTTAGCATTTTTATTATATTCGTGCACAGCAAATGATATGCCTCTTAATCCCGTCTTTAAATCGTTTTAAATAACAAGTTTACATGTAAATCTTAACAACTGACCTAACATTGAGAACAACAACAAATTTACAAGTTCGTATCTTCCACATAAGCATTTTTGCACACTTGTAGATATCTATATGTACCTGAAAAATACAAATGAAATGGTAAAACTCGAATACAGAAAATAGAATTTAATAAAACGTGTTACCAGTCGTAGAACTACAACAGTACGTTTACACAGTAAACATTTTAAAATGACAAAAGTAGATCACAAAGTTAAACGATTTTAACTCATGCATGACGCCCCGCCTCTCTCTGTCAGTATTTACGATCTTCTATTACGGTAATGTACGGACAGGTATAATACCCGTGGCTCGTCTCCCTATTTCTCATAAAGTGAAGGAAAACACGGCCGTCCATTCTAACTTTTTCAATTTCTATAAAAAGTCAAATATTTTTCGTATCAAATGAAAGATTACTCCTAAGCTTTCTATGAGTGCCTCAGAAATAAAAATGAATTAAACAGATGTATTTTTTTTTGAAATTTTTTTCAAAATTTTCATTTTCCTCTGAAAGATGACACTTTGAATTGGTAAGAAAAACACGGCGCGTTCCCTCCAAACTTTTTTATCTCGTAATCAATTTTGATAATTTGGATTGAAAATAAAAGTGTGCTTCATACGAATTATGATATAGTATAATTATATAATCCTAAAAATTAAAATGAATTAAATCAAAATGAATTAACTTTCGTTTTAAAGTTTATCATGTTACTTTCTGTAAAATAGAGAAAAAGGAATCCCTAAAGAACGCTCAACGACAAATTGAGAATGTTGCAGTTGAGGCCTGTTCATGGACGGTAATGGAAAGTGCAAGTTACCGTCACGCCCCCTAGCACCAGCTTTAAGCAAAATTCAACATTTAACATGAACCTGGTACAAATTTGAATTTTGAAAAAATCCGCAGAAGTGTTAATATGGCGATTATCATGGAACCTTCAATGTGACACGTAAGTGCCATTCCATGAAAAAACGGCACATGGTCCCCAAGTAAAAAAACAAAAACCACACACTCTGAAATTCAGCAAGAGAAACATGTCGCCCCATACTAACTCTTTATTTTATTTCTTGGTCAATTTAATAATTTTAGATTCAAGTAAAAGAATCCTTCATGAACTTTCTAGTGATGCCTAAAAATGAAATTTATTACGTAGACGTATTAAATTTTGTTCAAAACTTATCGTTGTTTATTTTTTCTTCTTAAAATAGAGAAAAAACAGAATCCCTAAAAGAAAGTTCAAACACAAACAATATTGAAAAAATGTTGCGGCTCGGTTTGATTTGAGCCTGTTCATGGACGGTACTGGAAAGTGCAAGCTACCGTCCACGCCCACTTAGCAAGGCTTAAGCAGAATCCACACTCATATATCGGCAAGAAAAAGTCACGTCGCTTCCTTAAGATACTTTATTCAAAAAGAAAATGAACAAGTACATGAAAAATCTGGGAAATAAAGTGATCCCTCGGGGAAGCTGATCACAAATAACAAATACATAAGAATTGCAGACTCGGTTTAATTGAACTGTACATGAGGGATAATGAACAAGTGCAACATCCCTCACGCCCCTAGCACCGGCTTGAGCGGTACTCCAATCTAAACACTTAATACGCTGGCATCGACCAGAAAAAATATAACACTGAAGTGAAGTACGGGGCAACTTTTTAACAGCTGCCACACGGCACTTACACCTGCTTGTTATCAAGTATAAAATTGGAACAAAGTGATCCCTCGAAGCATTAATCAAAACAAAATTACATAAGAATTGCAGACTCGGTTTGTACATGAGGGATAATGAACACGTGCAAAAGTTTTTATTCATACTGAAAATTGCAGCTCCCGAATACCTTATAAAGATAGTACATATGTGCTACGGATAAGAATTTTCTTGATTTCGAAAAAGAAAATCTCGGGTGGCCGCTTTAAAATCCTATTTTTTTGCAAATACTGCATAGTTTTTTGTTGAAAATGAAATTTGTGCCAATATATTTTCAATGATACCAATAAAAATATTGGATGGTTTTTAGATTATCAATAAAATTACTCCTTGAAGTTGGTCATATGTTTCCCCTAAAAATTCCATATCGGCCGAGTTCTCAGAAAACACAATGTAAATAATAAGTTATGCAAAGTTTTCTCATCAAATAAATGGCAAAACAGCAATTTCCAAGTGAATTTGCTATTGACAACAACTTTGTAACAAAATGTAACAAATATACATGTATGTATGAAAAAATAGCCGTAGTTGTCCTTAATTTATTGTAGAAATACGGGAGAGGCGGCCGTTTTAATACTGCGAGAATAGAAGTTCTAATACTCAGAAAGGGGCGGGGCCGTTATGCTGTGCCTTAAATCGTTTAACTTGTGAATCGTGCTTTCATTTTAAACATGTTACCTGTTAACGAAACTGTTGTAGCTTCTACATCTGTAACGACGTTTCTTAAACTGCTATTTTCTGTATTTAAGATTACATTTCCTTTCGTAATTTCAAGAGTCTAAAGTGTTGCAAACATCATATGTATTGCATGCAATGGAAGATACGAACTTGTGAATTTGTTGTCGTTTTAGATGTTAGGTCAGTTGTTACGCTCTGTATGTAAACTTGTTATATAAAGGCGGGAACCTTCAATTAAAAGATTGAATTAAGAGACATATTATGTGCTATGCACGGGTACAATAAAAAATGGTAGGCATACAAGTTCGCATTTTCAAAAATAATTTTAAAAGGAGCACTTTACATGTCTGGAATTTTGGCAACGAACGCCCTCCATATAGTATAACATATGTTTTTGGGTTTTTTGTTCCTTTTTTCGGGGGGGGGGGGTACTATATGCATATCAGGAAATCAATTTGGCGGAGAAAATTTTTACCCAAGTGCTATGGTTTAAAAAAAACTTAGTAGAGGGCAACTGGATATTTTTTCATGTCGAAAAGCTAAACTTTAGCTATTTTAGTTTAGAGAAGATTTTGTTGAAGTTTTAACTATATAAATATAAGAAAAACTTATGTTCCCTTGGGCCGGGGCCATTTTTAATCCAAGGGATATAATTTGAACAATTTTTGAAAAGGTCCACCAGAAAATTTTTCATACCAACTATCTCTGCTAAAGTCTCTTAAGTATAACAGAAGTTTTTTTTTCTTTTTGTTTTACTTGTTTGTTTGTTTGTTCATTTTACGCCTTTTCCCAACAGTATTTCAGACATATAGGCGGGTAGTTTCCTAACCATCATTCCTGGTGAGTTACACCAGTACTAGACAACCTTCTTTCGTGCTAAACTACCAAAGCATCTCCCGGAGATCGAACCCACGCAAGAGAGGTAACTGGATTAGAAGTCAACTATATACATAGAAGGAACATCAATGACGCCCTGGGGACCAATTTTGACCCAAGGGCTATAATTTTAACAAACTTGGTAGAGGTCTATTAGATATTGTTTCATGTTGTAGTTTTAGAGAATTTATTTCATTTTACATATAAGGAAAATCTATGTTCAACCGGGGCGGCACCCATTTTGACCCCAGGGCTATAATTTGAACTATCTTGGTATAGATAATACTAGATAATGCATATGCTAAATGTCTAAGCCATGGGCTAGAAGAAGATTTTTTTCCTAATAATTTTTTCGTTGCCATGGTTACCAGATTTCTTCATGGGATCGAAATATTTGGAAGCTTTTCTCTCAATGAACAATCTTTAGAAGTTATGTTGAAATCAGAAATGATGTTTTTAAGGAGAAGTCTTTTTAGGTTACTATATATGATCTATATAACAAACAAACACACATACATACACAGATGAACCACTATATGCCACCTCATCGCAGATGCTACAGTGGCATATAAACGCATCTTCATCATATTGAAAGATTGTGTCAGAGTCTGACATTTTAAGGCCTACTTTAACGCATAATTGTTTTTCTTTTTTTTTTCTCAAAAGCTTGTTATATTTGTTGTCCTGCTACAGTTTCCAAGAAGTTACTCATTGGTCAACTACCTGAGCCATGTTTTGCTTCTGTTGCCTTTTGGTAATGAATATAGCCAAAGTTGTTTAGTATTTTGTATGGAAATTAAAATACTACTTTTTACATTTTGATCATTTTACACAAATTATGTCACCTTCAGTACTACTTTACTCGGGTGATAAACATCTAATATGCTCTAAAACGATTATAAATCTCATGTTTGCCCTTTGAAAAGGAAGGGGGCCTTTAATTCAAATGCAAATAAAATATCCTACTCAAGTTTATCATGTCATTTACAAGTAAATTTTAATATGTTATTTAGCATCAAAGCTCTAAATTGGTGCCAAAATTAACATCACTTAGACCGATAACAATTATTTCGCCTTCGGTCCATTAAATGTTTCCGGACTGCCTGATCGGTCACTATAATGTTGTGAGATCCTTAATGATATGTACTGTTTCTTGATTATTGCTTAACCAATTTAAATCAATTAATTTTGAATAGCTTGAATGGTATTTCCTAGTTCATCATAATCAAGAAAACTAAATTCTAAGCTTATAAACTCACCGTTTTTTTTCCTCTTCTTTTTTTATTCGTTGTTTCTGACATTTCCGCACACAAATAAACAGAAGAATTGCTATAACTGAATAAAAACCAACAACAGCAGCAAGTCCAAAAGCCATTGCAATGTTGATCCGTTCATTATCTGCACATGGAACATTCATTTTCTTTATTAAAGGTTTATAACATTGGAAGACAATATCAGTGCTTAGATTTCATTAAAGATCATGTAACACAATTGTTTCATGGTTTTATTTCATAAATATGATGCTCAGATTAAGATTTGTCAATATTGTAAGTTCCAATAAACATTTTTTATAAAAATATTACCCAATTTAGCATTTCATGTAAATAAAGGGAGATAATTAGAAATTAATTTTCTTTTAGTTCTAAGTCAAATTTTCCAATAAGAAATGAATGCATGTAATTTATTGATTAAATATAATGTGCACACATATTTGCAGTACACATTTTACATATTTATCGATGTTTGAAAATTGTTTTATTTGCATAATTATATACATATATAATTGTTTGCAAGTGTGGTATACACACAGTAACAATATCAATCACAAAACATACAGGATCTTTAAGACAAGACAAGATTATTACAGAATGCATAAGGTTAAAAGGAGCATGAGGGCAGACATAATTTAGCAATTTTGGCTTCAGAGTTGACACACACCAACGCGGCTCCATTTAGCTCAGGAATGACTACATATCAGATAAAACAACATTCCTTCAGTATAGCAAACACAATTTGTCCTCAGTGACTTGTTAAGTCATAGCCCTTCAAATCATTTAAGTCATACGAAAAGCGCATATAACGAGACATGCACTAAAAAGTTAAGAAAACAAGCAATTATCATAGTATTGCAAGCAATCCATAAGTCCCCTACCGGTTAGAACCCCAGCAACATTCTGAAGGGCCATTGGTAATTCACTTATGTTTCTATTTTAAGTAAATTTGTTGAAAAAGTTCTTTAAAAGTGATCACGGGAAACAGTTTTTATGTACAGACAGACGGACTGAAGGACAATCTACATTTATTTTTTAAACATCCCTGTTATCAAAATATAACATTTTAAAAAGCGAAATTTTTAAAAAGGAGATAACTCTTGAAATAAAGATGCAAGATGTCATACATGATGTGAGTGTAACAAAGAACAATTAGTAATGAAGGTATGAATAATGAATGTTTATTTTGAATTTGAAGTAAATGAAAGTTAAAAGAACGAATAAGAAAAATTAAAAGTTTAAGGAGGAGATAATTCTGGAAATATGGATACTAGATTAATAAACCTTGTCATATTATTATGATGTGGGAGTTTGAAGAAAATCCTATCATGATTGAAGAAGTTGGAGTAAAAATTACCAATTTTCGAAAAAAAGCTCAGTTCAAAAGGGGCATAATTCTGGAAATAGTCTTGCTAGAGTATTGAACTTTCTCACAAATGTTGAGTGATAATAAGAAACATATATATGAAGTTTGAAGTAGATACATTCAGAAAAAAAAAAGTTATTAAAAAAACAATAATTTTTCTCATGAAAATTTTAAGTTCAAGGGAGGTAATTCTGACAAATTTTGTGCTAGAGTTGTAAACTTTGTCACATATGATGTGGTTGATGCTTATCGACTTATATTCAAAGTTTGAAGAAAATACCTTAAGAAATAAAGAACTTATAGTAAAAAAACTTAAAAACTAGAATCAGAAATCTTGAAATTAAGTCTATTTGTTGCCATAGCAACCAGAATTTTCATAATAGGAAGATAAGAAAAGGATGTGCATAATTTCCAGACTGCCATCTACCCAAATGTCAAGTTTCATAAAAAATATTTTCAGTACTTTTTGCGTTATCACTGGATCCAGGTTATGTGTAAAATTTGCCATATTTTCAGTCTATTTGTTGCCATAGCAACCAGAATATTCAACATAGGAAGAAAAGAAAAAGACGTGCATAATCTCCATACTGCCATCTATCCATATATCAAGTTTCATTAAAATATTTTCACTACTTTTTGCGTCATCGTGGGATCCAGTTTTGTGGACTGACGGACGGACAGACGAACGTTCTAACAGGAGAGTAATTATGTGGCTACTCTATTGTTCTCTCTATTGTTCTTTTTAGCCACACAAAAGAAAATAGCCACATAAAAGCATTACGGAATGAATGACATCAAAGAGAAAGAACAGTTACCTATTGTCCCTCTAGCCACATAATTACTCTCCTGTGAGTGCGGACGGACGGACAGGCGGACGGACGGAGGGTAAACCTAAAGTCCCCTCCGGTAAACCGGTAGGGGACTAATAAGCACATTTGATATACATTTTGATAGACATTTCTAAACCAAAATGTTTTCGGAAACCTCAATTAAATATCGGTTCCGAAATCCTTAAATACATAATAGTTCCCTATTGCTCTGATTTTAAAAGTATTTGATAAAATAAACACAGATTCAATTTCAATGTTTATATAGAAAAACGATTATTATGATCTCTCACATGAAAATACAGTAATAAGTGAATTTAGCATATTATTCAGTAAATGAGCAGCCTTTGAGTAACAAAATCATGAGTATAAATAAAATAAATTTTACCATGTTCTCTAATAATGTACTTGTAAGCCGTATGGTATGACTCTTTGTTTTCATTCCCATATACCGCTAAAACTTTCAGATAATATTTCCCATCGTCACTAGATTTGGCAGAAATCATCTCTGTATACTGTACTTGCTGATCAAAGCCGCAAGCAGAATCATTCGAACAACCTCTTGTACTTCTTGTATAATTATCATGAATTGTTGGAATTATTTCCTCCTCAATGCCACTACTTACCTAATAAATGTAATAAATAACCTTTACATTTTGGATTTAACAAACTCTAGTGGAGGAGCTATACTTCTATAAAGACTGACAGACATCATGATCATATGTAGTAAAAATATCATTTTTCTGTCATTCTTACTTTTTTCATTCATGGTCGTATATAAATCGGTGTGAGGAGATGAATTAGTCGTCTTAAAGTCCATTTCGGTGGGGAAAAAGGCGAGTTTTTAGCATAAAATCATTCTATAAATGTGTTTTTAACTCACTCTTACTATTTTACTTTTTATAATCTTAAGTCTAAAAAGGTTTGTTTAACAGGCATTAAGAACAGAGCTCTTCGCTAAAGCAGGACAATTTGCATCCAGTGAAGGCTCAAGACATAAGCTTACCTATAAACAGTATCCTGAAGGTTAAAAACGTCCAGCAATTCGAGCAAGATCAGTGTAGTATAAAGTACAACTACTGTACTGTCAATGGAATGCCTTTTATACTTTTCATTAGATACACAGCGGACCTGAGATGTCAACCACTGGACAGACGAATATTCTAATGACAATATTAAAATTGATAAGATTATTCTTTGATCTTCCTATGATATTTATTAACCCAACAGGAAATTGTATAACAACATATAGCTTCTCACCCCAACCCTAATCTCTTAAAATATAAACTCTTACAAACGTAATAACATTTGAGTTCTGTGGCAATATATAGGGATTACTTCTCCGTCGTCTGTCTTTCTGCATGTCTGTCTGTCCGCAAGTGTCTTTCAGTCACAAAACTTGTCCGGCTACTCCTTAGAACTACTAATCCAATTTCATCCAAACTTTACAGAAATGATCATGTCAAGAAAATCTTTAAATTTTTATTTGTTTACTAAAGCTCTAATAGTACAAGCCAGAACATCAAGTTTTATCAATTAGGTACCAGACAAATTCTAGGGGAATTTAGGGTGAACTAGAGGTTACTTTTCTATGATCAGATCAAATCAAAGGAATTATAAGGGATCTCGTTATCACCCGTCTAGCCTAATGATCTGTTATATAAACAGAGTGTGGGAATCATGTTTATTTTATGTTTATTTTAGTGAGAGAGAAATATTAATAATGTATATGCAAGATAAAAGGGTGCATTTGCCAGAAAGCGGTTAGACTGAGAGGTTGAATCGATAATGTGTGTTTAAAAGAAAAGTGGTCAAATCTTTGACATAATTAAAAAGTCACATCGATGACAATTTAGCTGTAGCAAGTTTAAAGTCACATCGTTGACATTATCATTTACATTAAGTGGTCACATTGATGACAAATAAGTTATAAAAGGGAAGTGTTGGAATAAGTAAAGCTGACGGTATGTTAGACTTATTATTTTTTCAACTGTTTAAGACTCATTTAGAATTAATTGTTCTTTACATGATATTAAGCATATGATAAGTCTGTTGCACAGTCTAAGGAATGTTAATTATTGAGTTAACTTTTCCAATTAATAATGTGCTGATTGTCAATAATTATTTAGATACATATAAGATAATAATGTGAAGAGTATTATTGTTGGTTAATCATTACAAATGCATTTTAAATTAGGTTTTTTTTAATGAGAGTTTATCAACTTAATGTTAATCTATATACATACGTAAGACACTTAGGGATATTTTTTAATGCTTTTGTAGGGTTCCAGACGGTTGAGTCAGGTTGAGTTCAGGTTGAGTTCAGGTGCTCTGTCTTTGCCCTGTCCTGTTTTTGTTTGGGGTCCCCCTGGGCTCCTTGCCATTGGTTCTTGTTGCTGGGTCATGTGGGGGTTGCGTTCATTGAACGCCGCCTTTCCTTGTTGATCTTGTTTATCATATTAGATGCAGATTTGTGTTCACGTTAATATTTGAGAAGATTTATTGAATGAAGTCTTTCATTTTATAAGAAGATTCCTTTGGGAAGTTGATAGTTTACATACGAAGATTCTCTTTGACGATAGTTGTTATTTTAGTTTATAAATTGGAACATAGTTCATATTTTAAAGAGATAAATTTATAAAGTTGGAAAGCGTATACAATTCAAAAACTGGATAAAAGGAACAGTGAAGACAAAAGATAGATAAATACAGAATCCCTAAAGAAAGCCCAACACGGCAAAATTGAAAATGTTGCAGGCTCGGTTTGATTGAGCCTACATTAACAAGAAAACATGGACAATAACCTCAGATAGTTAAATTAACGGATAACATAAACAGTGTTGTTTTTATTATATAATTATAATTATTATTTCTTCGGTTAAATATATTTAAACGGGGACCGTTCGCTATAGAGACATCGATGGGACACCGTTGATAATTTGAGATCTGAGAAAAACATTTCAATCATGTCCGGGAAGGAGTTGACGTCACGCTCCCTCTATGGTCCATTAAGTATTCGGACGGTTTCCGAAGGGTACTAGGCCAGTCATCCGGTAAAAACACTTGGCATCTTCTTTCTGGACACCATTCGATATTCTAATCGGCAGACTACCGTACGATAAATGTCCAATTGCCTTCCGTTATCTGGCCTGCTAGCAACAATCGTACGGTGACGGTAAAGTATACGTGCGATATCCGGTCGGCTGTCGGACGGTATTTGTTTGGCATGCTGTTCCATTTTCCGGACGTTATTCACACCCCGTCTTTTGTTGGCATTTTTCCTTGCCTTCTTCCCCATTGATTTCTCCCCCACCCTTTCTTTGTTTTCTGTTTTGGAAGGTATATTACACTCTGAAATCAAAGTTTTCCGTAAAAGATTGTAATTGAAACTTGAGGAAACATCTGCCGTGTGTGAAAAGAGATAATTTGTGTGTGTAAATGAGTTTCTTAATACTCGTCATCGGTTGACCGCAAAGGCGAGTCCTTCAGAAGAGTTTTAGTTGTTTTAGATTTCAGAAGACAGCGCAAGATACAGATAGCAAGATGCAAAAATTTCAGAAAGGTATGAGAAACAAGACCAATAAGGAAGGCGGCGTTCAATGTACGCAACCCCGACACTATTCAGCAACACAGGATGACCACCGTCAAGGAGCAAAGCAGGTTACCAAACAATCTTCTCCTTCTTTTTACCTATCCAAGTGTTTAAGCACTCATACACGGGACATCGCTTGAAAGTCTCTTCCGAAAGATTCCTAGTAATTTTAGTTGGTGATCCCGGGAATCGAACACACAATGTCCAGATTACAAGTCTAGCGATTTGACAGATTCAGCTTTGCAAGCTGGCTAATGAGAGAATGATGGTGGTACTTATGACTTACCCTGAGGACTATGGCAGTAAGCCAACTTGAATATACATACCAGAGAACAGTTCATCCACTGCATCGTTTTTGGACAGTCTGTCAAGCAGTTAAACATTAATTATCTCTCACTTTCGCAAAGTACTGCTTACTTCTGTACAACGAAAATGACCTTCAACGTCGAGAATTGAACACGGGTCGCCTTATTCACAGTCCAAGGCTTTATCTGCCGTAAGGTCTGTTTAATATCCCCAATGCTACCCTTAGGAACCATACGTACAACGTACTGCGTCCATTCGTGTCCCGGTCAGTAACCTGCCGAAACGCCTTCGGTGACCTCTCAGAAACTGGAGGAATATTTGGCGCCCAGGAGGTATATAACCGATAACAAAAGGTGTCCGCCCGGATATCGAAAGTTATTTTACCGTGTCTGCAACAGTGAGCTAACGATGTACCAGATGCCGGAAGAAAATAACTGCACTTAAATTCTCCGATTACCCGTACGGTGCCCCACCGGTCACTTGACACCGGAGGGTCACTGGCGGGAGACCTTTAAAAAAATTGGCGATTTCAGCCCGTTCAGACATCGGTACCCAATCGTCAACCTAACCGGAGGGTAATGTGACGCAGGCTTTAGTCACAAATAAACTGCCGCCGGGCGACGTCTTTTTTTTGTTATTATCGTAATATCAGCCGATGTCCGTCAGGCCACAGTGAGCCATGGGGCGGGCGCAGTGAGCCATGGGGCGGGCGCTTCCGTGTTTTAAGTACAACTTCAAAGCCAACGGCGGCCGGACGATAATTTTTGGGGTCAGTGAGTTGTAAAAGTCATCTGGCAGCCCGGGCGATGTATTTTGGATCGGACGATTGTATACGAAACAAAAACACTGTCCGATTTAAAAGGTACTTGGACGAACAGGACATAGACACCAGTTGACGAACGAGTATCGACAGTATGCGGACGATTCATGCACAGACACCGGGCGGTCATCGTTTTTTGTACGGAGATCGCGCGGCTTAAATTTGTTTTAATTACGGCTTGTGATTTTTTTAGTTGCCTAAAATGTATCTGTTAAGTATTTTGGATTTAACATGAACTTTATGGTTGAGCAAGAATGTGTACGCGGATAAGTATTAAGGACTGACTGAATTTTAAAAGAATATCATAAAGTGCCAAGTCTTTACCTACTTGGTTGTGTCGGGGGGCGGCGTCCTGTGAACGTTGCCTTTGCCTTGTTGATCTTTATTCTTGTTATTTTACCGCCCGGCACCATGCGGCGTCCGTTCGATCCATATATAAATCGCACAGACGCCGTCTGGAAATCGGGCGGCGACCGCCCGGTCTTTAAATGTTGTATGTAACATCAATTTGGCAAATAAAACGCCCGGTGACAGTTTCATTCAGGTCCACGCAAGGTATCAGATTTAAAATCGCCCGTCGATCGCGAAATCCCCAAAACCGCCGATTTTGTAAAATCGTTAAATCGGGCGGCGGTCGTTTTATTTGTGACCTAGGCATAACATCATGGGGTATATCATCCTTAAAAGCCGGATAAGTATTCGTCTGTACTTCTCCGTACAGGTCCAGATCTGACGAATGGTCCTACAGGTGATCTGTATAGATTTAAGAAGATAATCCGTGGCAATAATGTGTGGCGTCGAAAGAATGTTCATTTTCAATTTTGCCGTGTTGGGCTTTCTTTAGGGATTCTTTATTTATCTATTTTAAGATCACATCAGTGTTATTTGTGCCGTGTGGCGGCTGTAAAA